GTAGTTTTTTATAGATACTTACATATGATATAATTCTACATTTTTTAATTACTTATTAAAATTATTGCATCACTAATTGTGGCAAAACTACATAATAAAAAATAATATAACATGCTTGCATTTACTATTCATTGCATTACACCAAAAACTAATAATAAATACATGTGTTAATAATGAAATAGAAACAGTAGTTTTAGAGAAGCAATTAACAAAATTACATTCTGCATTGAAAGCGCAAAACTTCAGACAAACAGTACCTTCAGAATGGGCAGAATAGTTTTTTGGTGAACGTGGCCTTAACTTGGGAATTTGGGTACATGTATTCTGCCCTATGTTCACTGTTTGTGTACTGTTTGTGTTTTTAATGTGATTTGTGTTTAAAGAAGATCGAGTTGTTTGTAATGTGTGTATATTGCGTCGGACCCTCAGATTCTTTTCAGGATGTTCGTTGTCCATTTTATTTCCAGGAGCACGATATTCATTGCAGATATCCAGGTTTTTCAGCTCACACACACTCACTACAAAAAGGAAAAACATTCTCTGCCATGCTGCAGTAGGCTAACTAGCTAAGTACAGTTTGAACTCAGAAATTTTGTCAATTTTTATCCAAATTGTAAACTAGGACTTAGATATAACTAGGATTTAGATTTGAAATAAATGCTCAGATGATTGTTTGAAATGCTACTAATTTGTACACAAAAATTTGCGTCGCTTATGAAAAAGAATATTGTGCCAAAAATGAAACCATTGAAAAAAGGGATAACGCGCGCATGCATACACGCACGAATACATTCACGCATATATACTTTCACCCATGGATACACACACACGCGTGAACATAGAATATAGAATATAGAATATAGAACAACACATGGCATGCTAAATACATAAATTGTGTTACTCTTAAGCTGTACCGTAGCTTCATGTAATAATTTATAAATACAAAAAAAAGTTTAGACATAAGTGATTTTGTGGTACGGTTTTGTTACTGTGACTGGGACAGCTTAAGAAATGTGCCATCTATTTAAAATATTTGTTTACAAACCAAGAAAGTCAAGTCTATCCTTTGCCATTGCCAAATTAGTGCGCATTTTATCATGAAGTCTTTGTGCATGTTCCCATACTTCCCCTCGACCACCATTGCATTCTATAGCTATTCCTTTCTCTAGTTCTCCAATTCCTTTCTTATAAAGTTCAATTGCCATTTCTTTTTGACCTGAAAATTAGTATTGGAAATGAAATATTTAAGACAAACTATATCATATAAGAAATAGTATAAACATGACTAGAAATACCTTCATTATCCTCATCAATCTTAAGTGCTTTACTAATAAATTCAAAAGCTCTACGATGATGATGTTTTTGTTTTGCCAGTAACGGATCTCCAGGGCCAGGGCCAATTGGCCTTCTAGGCACTTGCGACATTCCCTCGTTTTCAGTTTGTCCAGTATTATTTAAATTGTTACTCAAATTTTCATTAGACTTTTGACCAACTACAATCTCCAGCTGACAGGTTTGCTTGGAAGCTTGTCTTCGTTGAATCAGCTGAGATGTAGATGTATATAAGTACTTAAATACCACAAACAACTGATAAAGAAGTGTCCTCAGAACATTGAACAGCAGTATCAAAGGGAAAGAAACAATATAGAGATTACGTTTGTGCACTGATGGCTGAGGGGTATCGAGAAAGCGATGATTATGATGGTAATGATTATGGTGATGATTATTGCAGTTAATGGTAGTTGTTGTTTTATCGTTATTTTCATTCTTGGTCACGCATAACTTTTTTGGCGACTTGGTGCCGTACTTTCGTATTGGACGCCCGCCATCACTGTAAGACATTTCCTATCGCAAATTTTTGAATTGGTATGGTACAAGGTACACACTTATTATCGCCAAGTACAAGCCGAGCTAAACATTTTAACATTCCCAGTATCGCACAGATATTGAAAATGAAAAGCGATTTTCAATTTGTTTTAGATTATCTTTTTTATAAAGCATTTCGGAAGCTCGACAGCCTAAATCTTTCTGGAAACAATTGCTTGGTTGAAGCGGTAGCTGTTTTCACTGAGGTACAAGATGAAAGAAAAGAACAACAAGGCTCGAAATTTCGAGATGTTTGAAATTGACAAATCATGAACGAAACAGAATGACTCGTGGTATTCTTCAGCATCGCTCGCACTGATTCACATTTAACTTGGAACATCGACGTATAACATGGATTTACAAACATCAACAAACGTTGTTTTACAAAATCGTGTATACAAAAATATATACATAGAGAAACTTATATTACATACACCTTAGTATTTACTTCATTTAGTATATATTCCACGCAAGATAGATTTACTTTACGCACCTGCGCTCTTTTTCATATTTCTTTGCACATGCGTATATTTGATTATCCTTAAAATCCTACTCATAAAATTTCAAATTTTATACATGTTTTCTATTTTTACATGTTTTGTTTATTCATTATTTTATTTTCAAAAGATTAAGATTTGTTAAACAAATGAACACTAGATTCTTTTCGATCTTGTATCATACACATTGGGAATTTTAAAGCCCTCTTACCATTTGTGTTCTAACGTTAAAGTAAAATAAGATTACAGTATATTTATAGTAGTTGAAATTGAAATTAATTTTTAAATCAAAATGCAAATATCGTACAATATGATCGCCCAAATCTCATCACTAAATTACTATTTTAGAGATCCATTCTAAACAGATTCCATTGATCTTTTTCTCGAAAAAGAAAATTTACCCATTTTAAAAAACGTTTTTTCTGTATCTGCTTTTTCTGTATAGTGATAGATCTAATCTATCTTTAATGATTTATATATGTTTATATATATATATATGTATATATATATATATATATATTGTATTTCCCGGTATAATTTATTATTCATCGACGATAAAATAATTTGTCAGTTTATCGGCTGCGTCATATTAGTTCATAAGCTTCTTGCAGAGGGCCTCTCTTAATATTCTGCCGCCATTTTCTTCACCAGTTCTGCGTTTTACATTCCAGAGATTATATCGAGGCAAGATGTCGTCCGCAAGTGGTGATGAAAGTGAGATATCTTTAAACGAACCCGGTAAGATGATATTTTTGAAAGAAATCGTATTCAACATGGTACAATATTGATATTTATTTATATTTACATACAATTAGATAAAACGAAACAAAAATATTAATACACCCGGCAGCTGAGCAAAGACCTGCGAACCGCCATTAAACGAATGGCGTCTCGCACACGCATCTAACGTAAATATTTCATTCAAATTTTGCATTTTTTTTGTATTTTCATTTTTTTCAGTGCGACGCACGAGATCCAGCCGTACACGTAAAACTACTATAGTAGCTAAAAAATCTCCTGTAAAGAAACTTCTAGCAAGAGCGACACGATCTCCGAAAAAAGTGCAAGAAATCGAAGAGGTCGAGGTGCGTAAATTCCATAATACTATAGATAATTCTCGCAATCATCAGTGTGCGTAATCACCGTTTTGTCCAATAGATGTAACCGTTGTTGTAATTTTTCAGGAAGAGGAGCCCATATTGCAAGAAGAGGTTGTAATGGAAAGCATTCCAGAAAATGGAGTGCAGAGATTTGGTGACATTATTGAACAACATAGTGAGGATGATGCCCCTATGTTACACTTGGAATTGGAAGATTCTGATGATACCACTATTCATGAAATCAACATGAATCAAAGTGTACAAATAGGAGTTCAAGAGACTGTACCTGATTTGGAAACGTCCGCATCTCAAATTGTAAATGATATATGATATTTCACTACTAAACTTAATACATTGTCCCTTCAGAAGATTATGTTGTTAGGTTATATTATGTATTTCAGGATCATTCGAACACAGTATCGGATTGTATGATCATAGAAGAAAGTAGTATGGATAAAGTTGATATGTTAAATGAGCGTGAACAGATGGATATGGAGGGACAGGATATTAGTAATGATGAAACGAACCAACGTGTATTGATAGATTTTCAAGAAGTTATGAATGACGATGGAGAAACAATAACACAAGTAACAGAAATCTTAGAAACAGAGGAAATTGAATCTGAAACTGTTATAAATGAAGGTACTGGAATTGAAGTTATGGAAGTAGATTGTCAACAAGAAACATCAGAAATCATAGAAAATATTACAGAAAAAATTGTGCCTGATTATGATATGACAGAAATGACGGAAATGACAGAAACAACAGGTGACATGGAATTACCTGAAAATGCTATTAAAAAAACAGAACCTGATACAGAGGCTGTATCTGAAGATGAGCTGCCTACTGAAGCTACAGCAAAGGTATTTTGTTATCAAAATAGTAAAAAATAAATTTATGTTTTTTGCGTGTCTATATATTCATATGCATGTGGTTTATAATGTATTATTGTAAATACATAGGAACCTGAAACAGAAGCAGTATCTGATGAAGAACTACCAGCAGCTGCTCCTGCAGATTTAGGAGAAACTGAATCAGTTTCTGAAGATGAATTACCACTAGATAGTGAAAAGAAAAAGAAAAGTGGAACGAAGATAATGAATAAAATTCTGGAAAAGAAGAACAAAACAGAGGGAATAAGTAAGTGTAAAGAAGAAAACGTTATTTAATAATCTTAAATCTTTATCTTGACAGATAAATGTAAGTTTGTTTTTACAGATAAACGTAAGTTGAATGCAGAAGGAGAGTATGATCCTAGCTCACCAACGTCTGAAAACAATGACGAAACCCCGGCAAAAAAAGTTGCACTTTCAACGGAAGTAGATCCAGGAGATAGTAAGCAAGAAACTAAACCAGCATCGCCAAAGAAAAAAACGTTACCAGAATTGGAAAAATATTGGAAAGCCGTTAATGAAGATCCATCGGATTTCACGGGATGGACATATCTTCTCCAATACGTTGATCAAGAAGTAAGCAAAGAATATTCTAAAAAATCATACTAAATATACATGATATTCGTTTGTTTGCGTAGAATGATGCTGAGGCTGCACGTGAAGCTTATACGAAATTTTTGGAGCGTTATCCATATTGCTATGGTTACTGGAGAAAATTTGCAGATTACGAGAAGAAGAAGGGGAACCCCGAAAATGTCCAAAGGGTGAGTCAACTCGTTTACCATATTTATTAGGTCTACTTCTCATTATGATATCATTTAATTAACGCAATCTAATGAAAATAGCTCGAGTTAGGAAGACGCGTGGGCAGTGTGCACGCACGTAAATATGGTTTTCCCTTCCAACAGCCTAGCACGTCTTGCGGCACCTATACGACTCTCTCCGTTTACCAAATAGCTAGTTACTTAATTATTCTGCGATATCTACAATATTATTGCGTATATTAATGTTTTACTTATACCGTTATATCAATATTCTACGTATGATACGTAAGTCAAGCGAAGGCTAGTTGTTTCAATTTGCGATATTACCGTGCAAGAAATTGTGTGTAATATTTACTGTAAGCATTTGTACACATAGCTTACTACAGAAAGTATTGTAACTTAAGCATAAGATGCGGTACCTTACTTAATGTAAGTAAGATTGGGTTGGGTGTTAAATCAAAGTCAGAAACAAAGACTTAGGACGTGAACATGCCAGAGAGGGAGCAAGAAAAAGTGGCAGAAGACACAGAGGCACCCAGATTGGAACACTCCTTGACTTTAAGGTGAATGCACAATGCTCTGCAATCTCTGTGTTAATTAAACTTCTTTATTTACAGTATGCGTATGATATGTGAGTATACGTTGCTAAAAACCGTAATGCTTATCGAAAGCTAAAAAAAACAAAAAACAAAAAAGAAATAGGTATAAGTCTACCCACCACCAGCCCAATCATTTATAAATCGTTCTAAATGTGATTGCAAACCATTACTACAGGTATTCGACCAAGGTCTGAAAGCTATTTCACTCAGTGTCGATCTTTGGCTTCATTACATTAACCACTGCAAAACCGTCTATGAAAAAGATGAAGAGAAACTTCGAGAACAATATGAAAGAGCTATCCAGGCATGTGGTCTTGAATTCAGGTACGAATTTTCTTTAATTTCATGCGCATACAATCTTGAATTGTATTAGAATATTTACAATATTCTTTTTATTAAGATCTGATCGTCTTTGGGAGAGCTATATAAAATGGGAACTGGAAGGAAAACGTTTAAGCAAAGTAACAGCATTATATGATCGTCTATTATGTACTCCAACACTTGGTTATATTTCTCATTTTGATGCATTTCAAGAGTTCGTTTCTTCAAATTTACCCAATCGTATTTTAAATGTTGACGATTTTCTTGCATTGCGTGCTGAAGTGAAAGCACTTCTGAAGTCGGATGACAATACTTCTACTTCAGCAGCAGATGATGCACCACCTGGCGAAGAACCACCGCCACATGAACTTCCGCCAACTGATGAAGAGACCCGTGCTATTAGAGAAAAAATTATTAGTAGTAGACGTAAAATGCATAAAGCTAATATTAATGCTGTTGCTGCAAGATGGTCATACGAGGAAGGCGTAAGTATTTGTATTATATTCAATGCAATATGTATTATATCGTTCAATTTATTAATATTAGATTTTTATTTATAGATTAAGAGACCATATTTTCATGTAAAGCCTCTAGAACGATGTCAGTTAAAAAATTGGAAAGAGTATCTGGATTTTGAAATTGAACAAAAAGATCAGAATCGGATAATAATCTTATTTGAAAGATGTTTAATAGCCTGTGCTTTATATGATGAATTTTGGATGAGAGTAAGTTTCATTTGTACTTTTTTTTTTTTGCTTGAAAATTATTCTTTACATTAAATTTTCTAAATATTTTTAAATTTCTTTATAGTTCGTTCGTTATCTGGAATCCTTAAAAGGTGATAACGTGGAAAAAATTAGAGATGTGTATACTAGAGCTTGTATGGTACATCACCCGAAGAAACCAAATTTACATCTACAGTGGGCAACATTTGAAGAGGGTCAGGGAAATTTTGAGAAGGCAGCAAATATATTGGAAAATATTGATAATGTAATACCGAATATGTTACAAGTGGCATATCGAAGAATAAATTTGGAACGTAGAAGAGCAGATTTAGACAAAGCTTGTACATTGTATGAAAATTATATTAGCAATAGTAAAAATAGAACTATCGCAAATAATATTGTAGTAAAATATGCACGATTTTTATGTAAAGTAAAGAACGATGTGGATAAAGCAATCAAAATATTATTGAAGGTAAATCTTCTACCTTTACATTTTTTTTTTTTTT